TGTGTGTCTGGAGCTATACAAAGTAGTTCAGGGGCACCGACGGCTTGACTCCTACAAGAATGGTTTCCTCAACTTGGCCCTGCCTTTCTTTGGCTTCTCAGAACCTGTTGCTGCACCCCGTCACCAGGTGAGGACCTACACCAGGGGAAGTAGGCTTGTGGGTGGGGTGTTTTCTCTATAGAACTGGCTTTAGTTTACTTCATAGGCTTTTGCCAGGTGAAGGTTTCTGTCAATGTGTACCTGCTCATTTTGTGTACGCCTGGTTCATTTGCTCATATTTTTTTAGTTCATTCCGTGTGCTAAGCACTGGTTTTATTTTGCCTGTGGAAGCCCTCAGAAAAGATGGGATATTTGAATTGTGCCCTAGGGGATTGTTAATAACTGTATACTAATAGCAGCCAACATTTATTAGGTGCTTGCTATTCTAAGTACTTGTGCTTGCTTCGTGTATTAATTCACTCAAGTATTTATTGAGCAGCCCCCCAAAAACAAACAGGATAAGAAAGACTTGAGAGTACCAGGTGACAAAAGACCTTGCTGAAAAGATGACATGTGAGTCCAAACTTGGAGGAGGTGAAGAGACAGACCATGCAGGCTTCTGGGGGGAAGGCATTTCAAACACAGGGACCAGTCTCTGCAAGGAAGGGTAGGAATGTGCCTGCCTGGCATGTTTGAGAAGGAAGTCACTAGAGCAAAGTGAATGAGGTGAGGAGTAAAGAGTAGGATCGTAATGATGTAGGACCTTATCAGTCATCTTAGGGTTTCAGTGCTTACTAAGGGTGAGGTGGAAGCCACGAGAGAGTTTTGGACAAAAGAGCCTTGTGATCTTGCTTAGCATGTCTCTGCATGAGTGAAGTGGGGAGAGTGACAGGGCTGGACCCCCTGATGGCCCCCATAACACTGGTCTGTTCCTTGTCCTGCAGTACTATAACCAAGAGTGGACGTTGTGGGATCGCTTTGAGGTACAGGGGCTGCAGCCTAATGGTGAGGAGATGACCCTCAAACAGTTCCTTGACTACTTTAAGGTGAGGCCCCTTCCTTACTCTCACCCCATGTGAAGGCGGAGTGTGCATGTGACTGGCCTGTTTACCCCCATGACACTGCCATCCCTGCTCTTCCCTCCTCCAGAAAGAACATAAATTGGAGATAACCATGCTGTCCCAGGGCGTGTCTATGCTCTACTCCTTCTTCATGCCAGCTGCCAAGCTCAAGGAACGGTTGGATCAGCCGTGAGTTGGGTGGCAGGGAGCCTCAGCTAGCAGCTCTCCCACTCCTGTTCACCACCTTTCACTCCCTGGGCTTCCACCCACTTGTCCTTCCTCTCTCTCGCTTTCTGTCTCCCTGACACTCTGCTCTCCTGCCCTCAGGATGACAGAGATCGTAAGCCGTGTGTCGAAGCGAAAGCTGGGCCGCCATGTGCGGGCACTGGTGCTTGAGCTGTGTTGCAACGACGAGAGCGGCGAGGACGTCGAGGTCCCCTACGTACGATACACCATCCGCTGACCCCCCGCCCCCTCTTTTCCAGAGCCCTTCTACCCTAGGGCTCCCATATGACCTCTGGCAGTGGCCCAGCTAGCCCAGCCTGGTGTTCCCTCCTTATCCCCCTACCTGAACCCCTCTTGCCACTGCTTCCTACCTTGTTCAGAACCTTGAATCCTAATAAAGAGTTATTAATGCAGACGTGGCATGCACTGCTGGTTCCAGGGAAGGAAGGGACTTCTAGGGCTGCCTGGTTCAGATGGTAACCCGAAGGGCTCAGCCCCACCCCAGCTGGAAGTTTCCTGGGCAGAGAAAATGTAGGGATTGCTGTGTTCTTCCTCCAGCCCTCCTCATTCAAGAAGTGGAGGCACTGGTGAGGCCATAAAGAACAGGCACCTAGGTCCAATTTATTTGAGCCGGATTCCAGTTCTGCCTTCTCCATGTTCTACCACTTTCCCATATTGATGTTGGGTCAGTGTGGCTTACATCCTTGGGGCAGATCCTTCCCCACCCAGCTTGAAGCGGTCATACCCTGAACAAGACTTTGCCGTCATGGTTCTCAGTGCCGGGAATGCCTGTGGTGCCCTTAAGTTGAACCTTCGTGCTGCAGGAGGACCTCATATTTTTTATGAAAATATCTAGCTGATGACATTTGAAAAGACCCTTTCCCACCCCACTCTGTTTCCTCACCTGGTTAGTCTGTCCTGAGGCCTCCAAACTTTGAGAAGAATCAGCTGTGGGTTGCTGATTGGTTAGTATAAGCAACAGGAGGCTCACCTCAGGCCCTACCAGACTGCATGCCCTGTCCCCGGTCTTACCTGAACACTTGAGATAGTTGAAAGTATCAGTCTGTCCACATGGTGCCTGAGGAAGCCACCTATATATCTTTTCCTCACCCAGCCACTTAGATTCCTCATCCCTTCATTCAAACCTGGTTATTGGGAATAACGCGTACAACCTCTGAACCTGGCCTGACAACCGTCACAGCCTGTCCCTACATCTACTGCCTCCTGGGCCAGCATCAGACTACAGCTACCACTGCGTGCCCTTGGCCACCTTCCTCATGACTCTTCTTGGGTAACCTCATCCTTTTACACTTCCTTTTTATTCCCCACCAGGACACTGGGGACTGAGCTGCTTTATCTCTGCCGTCTAGTTAGTGGTGGTGCTAGCTGTCTAGGTCCAGTGGAGGGTTTCCTACCACAGGCACTTTTCCCATTATTGCTGCTCTAGAGTACCCCAACCCCACAACTCTGTCCACTGTTTCCACCATTGCAGCATCTGAGTCAAACAAAATTCCTCTCCCCTCTTTCCACTATCCCAGCTCCTTCATGGGTATTCTGGACACTTTGTACACTGGGTCCTCCCCCATTACAGCTCCTGATTGTCCAGACACTTGTCCCTTCACCACCACAGCTCCTTGCTACTTTGTTTGCATCTGACACCCTGCATCAAGAACCCATGAATCCTGTTTGCATCTTATTTCCTCAACACATGCCATTTTACTTCTGTCATATTTGTCTACCCCTATAACCATCAAGATAGGGCTCAGTGGGAAGCAGTTGGGTGACTGCACTTAGTCCTCTGAACCCAGCAGGCACAAAGAATCGAGTGGAACAAGGTTATATCCTCTTTGCCTAAAACTATCTGCCATTCAGACATTCAACAAATGTTTTTTCCTTAAAGATTTTATTTATTTTTAAAGAGGGAAAGGGAAGAATAGAAACATCAAAGTGTGGCTGCCTCATGCGCGGCCCCAAATGGGGATCTGACCCGCAACCCAGGCATGTACCCTGACTGGGAACCAAACTCTTGATCTTTTGATTTGCAGGCCGGCACTCAGTCCACTGAGCCACACTAGCCAGGGCTCAACAAACATGTTGAGTGCTGCTTATGGCTTTGCAGATGGCAGTGGGTCAAAAAGACCTGTTTTGGGCAGGGGTGAGACTCCAATGATACAGTAAGTAAATTTTATTAGAAGTTTGTGCTATCCAAGAGGTCTTCAGAATTACGTGTGGGGATTGGAATGATGGGGCTGCAGGTGGGCATTTTAAAATAGAGAAGGCTTCATGAAGAAGGTGATACTGAAGCAAGGACTTGGAAATGAGGGGATTGAGGCATGTGAATAACTGAGGGAGAGGCATTCCAAGCAAAGGGAACAAGTGCAAAGTCCCATGGGCTGGATTGTGCCAGCTTTATTCAGGAACAGCTAAGAGACTCGTATGGCTAGAGCGGAGATGAGAGATCAGAGAAGTGATGGATTTGATTGTCTATCCTGCAGTGGACTTTTGTCAAAAACAGTATTTCTTTTCCCATTATTGTCTGGTATATCGCCATTGATATAAACCGTACTGAAAAACTGTAGTGTGAGCAACATGTAGTGTGGCTGTCATAAACGCCAGTCTAGAAGAGACGGAGAAGCTGGCTTTGGACTGGGGTGCAGTGTAAAGATGTCCCAGAAGGCCTGCTGGATGTTGCCATTTGAGTTGGATTTTCCAGGCAGAGTGGGGGTGAGGGGTTAGGTCGGCCTGGCAGTGCTTGACACAAGCACCCAATAAATAGAAAGCCGCAGAGCCGGGAGAGCCACGGGCGGGGCTCTGGTGGGCGAAAAAAGATAGTTGCGAGGTGGCAGGAAAACCCAATTCAGGACGCAAAAGTAAAAGCTTGCACGAAGCGTAGAGAAGACCCGGGTCTCGGCCCAAAGTCTCAAGCATGCGCAGTAATGCATTCGCGCGTCCAAAGGTCCGCCTTTCTTCTCAGCCTAGGCTCCACCCCATGAGCCTTGGTGAGGAAGATGGGAGGGGTTAAAGGCGGGACGAAAGTCAATTAAACGCTCTTTTGGCCAATCACCTTGCGGGATATTCGGCCTATGCTGCGAGGAGCTCAGAACAAAAAGGAGGGCCCGCCCCCCGGCGATGAAAACTGGGCCCGGCGTGGTACGCAGAGAAGTCACGCCTCTCCAGCCCAGCCACGCCCTTCATTCTTGCACTGCCTCACCCCAGGGAGCTAGTGCGATTGGCTGGGCGACAACCTCAAAGGGCGGGGCCGCACACGGTCACAGTGGGAACAAGCTAGCGGTGTGGGAGTTGGGGGGATTGGGAGGCAGAGCAGCTGGGCGGGTAAAGGCCAATGATTCTCCAGGCCGCCTGTCCCAGAAAAGTCATCTTCTCGCGAACCTTTAAAATTCCTGCCTCCCGAGGTACCTCAAGGGACTGGGACAGACTGCTTCATCTTTTTACTCCTTGCAAAAGTCCCGTTTGCCACCATGGGGATGTACCAAGTGAGAACGAGTAGGGGGAGCGAATGGTGATTGGTACGCTGGTTACGAGCTGCTGCCCACTTGCTGGCAAACTTCTAGCAAGATCGGGACTGAGTACTAAATAAACTCTACAGTTCTCCCTGGCACCGTTCCAGGGCTGGCGCCACATTTCCTGGTGGGCGCGCAATGGCCGCGCCTCCTCCCGCGGCGGACGGGTCTTTTGGTACGTGCAGTCCGAGGTGAGTCCCCTCCTGCCCACTTCACCGTGTCCAGCGCGTGCGTGCGCATGCGCGGAGCGCGGCGCGCGCGGTGGTTGGGTCGTAGGCTGTTCGGCCCTGGGATCCGCCGGGTCTCCGCGAGCAGTGGGCTCTGAGCCGCGAGCCGCCGTGAGCTCTCGGGTTCGAAACGACGCCGACGAGCCCGGGGGCATCGCCCGCAGCGGCCTAGCTCATGGACGGCTGAGCGGGACGCCGCCTCCGCCTCAGCCGCCGCCGCCGCCGCCGCCGCCTCCTCCTCCTCAGCCGGCGGCGGCCCGGGCCCAGCAGCCATGGCCGAAGACTACTGGGACGGGCGCCTGCGGCGTACAGGAGGAGGAGAAGGAGGTCGCGCGGCCTCAGCCCAGGCCGCCGCCCCAGGCGCCTCCGCGCCGGCCCCGCGGCGCTGAGGTTGCACGCGCGCCCCCGCCGGTGAGCGCGTCACCGAAACGTGGGGTGGGGGCTGCCCTTTCTCCTGCAGAACCAACTCAGACCCCGGCCGCTGCCCCCAGGGGTCTGGGCTGCACCACTGGCATGGGCCCCCTCCCCGCAGCGAATTGCCCAGAATGCACCGGGGCAGGGGGTCATTCAGGGCCTCCCTGACCTTGGCCCCGCCCTGGGCCGGGTCTGGGAAGCACTGTGGGTGCTGGTGGGGAACGGTGTGATCGAAGGACTAGAGGGTGTGGAAATTGGGTGACAAGAGTGGTGAAAAGTCGAGGTTTGCTAATGGGTGCCTGAGTTAATGGAGGGGTCGGAGCTGTGTAAGGTTTGGGGCCCAGTCTGTGCTAATGGGGGGGCAGTGCAAGGGGTGGAGGGATCCAGTCGTGCATAATACGTGAGTGGGTGTCATAGAAATGCTGAGATTTGCAAATGGGGTTCTAGCTGTAGAAGGGCTCTCTGTGTGTTAACGGGGATAAGGTGGTAGAGGTACTGGAAAGTGTGCTAACAGGATCAGGGTTTGAAGCCTTGTGTGTGGTGATGAGGGTCAGGATGGTGTTACTGTGTATTTGTCCATGAGGGCCTGCAGTGTGTGAGGGTCCAGAGTGTACTCATGGAAGGCAGGGTAGTGGAAGAACTAGAGTGTTGACAGTTTGCTATTGGGGGTCACAGCTGTAGAAGGCATGTATCTGTAGTAATAAATGTCTGGGTAGTATGAGGCCCAGTCTGTGCTTATGAGGGCAGAGTGGAGGAAAACCTGAGTCTGCTACTGGCTATCAGTTGTGGATACTTGGTGGCGGGGCGGGGGTGGGGGGTGGGGGGCGGGGTTGAGGGAGGTGTCTGAATGTAAGTGTAAGGTTCAGTGTATTCAGGATCAAGATGGTGTGAGGTTAGTGTTGTGTCTATGAGGACTGGGGATGTGAGACTCTAGGGTACGCTAAAAAGGGGCAGGGTGATAGATGAAGTTTGAGTGACTGCTAATGTGGGTTTAGAGCCTTGGAAGAGCTTGAATGTATGCAGGTGGGGGGAGAGTCAGCTGTATGAGGTCTGGAATATGCTAATGAGAGTCAGAACATTGTGAAGACACTGTGTGCTTGGGTCCAAGGAAGACTGGTTGTGTTGAGGTTCCAGGGAGTGCTAATGGGGGTAGAGCTGTGGAGGGTTTCTCGTGTGCAATGAGGAGGATGAGGGCTGTGAAGGGATCCAAGTGTGAACCATCAGGGGTTATAGCTGTGGAGGAGTTGAAGCAAAGAGAAATAAGGAACAGGAATAAGTGAAGGTCTAGGTGTGCTAATGTGGATTAAAGTCAGGGATGGCTGAAGTGTGTATGCTAATAGGGGTTTGGGCTGAATGAAGACCCGTGTCCACTAATGAGGGTCAGGCCATTACAGAATAGTGTGTTTGTCCCTGGAGATAGGGCTGAGTAAGGGTTCGGGGTGTGCTAATGGGGAGGCACTGTGTGAGGCCCAGTGTGTGTTAATAGGGGTCAGGGTGAAGTGAAGGTCTAGCTTGTGCTGATGGGAGGTGGCAGGGTCAGGGTAGTGGGAGGGCCAGAATATGTATTACTGATAGTCGTAGCTGCAGAGGGGGTTCTAAGTGTGGGCGAAAACAGTTAGGTCAGGGATCTGCACGGTTCACTTTGTGTTAATAGGATTTAGGGCATTGTGAAAATCCATTGAGTGCTAATGTGGGTCACCTATAGAGGGTCCCAAGTGCGTGTTAATAGGGGTCAGAATCATGTAGGGGGAACAGAGCGTTAATAGGGAGTGAGTGCTGTGGAGAAGCTGACCGGCAGCTGGGCCTGGGAGGAGCCCAAGAATGTGGTGGTAGGAGTTAACTTAGAAGGTTCTGTGCTCTGTTGGGGCTTTGTGTGCTGGCGGCAGTTAGAGATAAAGGGAAATTGCAGGTGCTGATAGCAGTTAAAATGCAGAGAGGACTTCTTGAAGGTCCAGTGTGTGCCTGTGGGAGTCAGGACAGGATAAGGATGATATGTTCCTGTGGGAATTAGTAGAATGTGGTGATTACATCCTCAGTGGTCAGTGTTGTATGAGGTTGGTGAGTGTTCTTGGGTATGAGAGTATTCAAGTTTTACTGCGTATTAATGTTCAAGTGTCTCTGTTCACAAGGGCCTACCCAGGGTTCCCCTGCTGGGGGTGTTGCATGATACAAAGATTTTGTACTCCATCCTCCTAAAATCCCCCCAAAACCAAACTCTGGAACATGTCCAACCCTTGGAGTTTTCAGTTGGAGGTCGTGGACCCATGGCTCCTTCTGTCTCCCTCCTCATTGTCCATCCAGCCCAGCTTACAGTCTCCTCAACCCCCAGCTCCTCCATTCCCTGCCACAACAGACAAATTGACTGGGTATCCGTGGCATATGGACACAAGACAGTCTTTGGGGGCTGGCCATGCTTCACATTCCTCAGCCTCAGGTCCGCTGTTCGGCCTCCTGGGTCAGGATTGTGCTGTTGTTATCCTGGGTTATCTGGATGGGCCTCATCCTCTTTCCTGAGGTCTTTCTCCTAGGCTGGCCCCTCTGCCCCTCCTGAGGGTGGTCAGGTCAGGCAGGGAGAAGCAGAGTGTGGGGACCGCTGGAATAACACCTGATTTCAAGGTAACAGATGACCCACTTCTTTCCTCGGATCCAGCCCCAGCCTCGTCCTCGACCCCCTATCTAGCTTCACTTCCCTTGGGCCCAGGGCCATCTTAGGCCCTGCTGTGAGTCCAGATGGTTCCTGGGCCAGGTCTTTCCCCCTCCTTGCTGGCACAGAGCCCAGGAGGAAGCAGAAGAAGGCCAGCCTAAGCCTTTTGGTGGCCCCATTCCCTCCAGCAGCCGCATCTAGGTAGGTCATCTTCCTGCCGATGCCAGCGTCCCTGAGACACCTTGTCTGGGGTTGTTCATAAATAGCAGGGATTCACCCTGCTCACCCTGTTAGAGGTTGGTTTTAGGCCCTCAGCCCCCTGATTTCATTAATCTCTACCATAAGCACTTTTTGAGCATCTACTCTGTGTCAGTCACTGTTCCAGGTCCTCAGGATATAGCTGTGACCTAAACAGACAAATCTACCCTGATGGAGCTGATCTTCTAGTTATGGCGGTGAGGAGACAGACAGTAAAGAAATAAACCACTAAGTAGGTGGTGTCATTTCTGAAGAGGTGATGAGTTCTGGGGGATAATTGGCAAGGTGAGGGAGCGCAGGATGGTTGAGGTTTTGCAGAGGTTTATCTGTAGAGCAGGGGTGTCCAATCTGCGGCCCAATACAAAATTGTAAATTTACTTAAAACATTACAAATTTTTTGTGTGTGATTACGTCTTGCAATGTATTTAATGTGTGGCCCAGAGATGCCAAAAGTTTGGACACCCCTGTAGGGTTATCTATGAAAAAGGTAATCCCTGACTGGTGTGGCTTAGTTGGAGGGGCGTAGTCTAGCAAAGCAAAAAGTCACAGGTTCGATTCCAGGTCAGGGCACATGCCTGGGTTGTGGGTTTGGTCCCAGTCAGGGTGTGTGTGAGAGTCTGTCACTTGTGATCAATGTTTCTCTCTCACATTCTCTCCCGAGGTTCTTTCCTACTCTCTCTCCTTCCCTTCCCCTCTCTCTAAAATAAATAAATATTTTTTAAAAAAAGAAAACGAAAAAGGTAATATTTGAGCAATGGCCTATAGCGGGTGAGGGAGTGAGCTGTTTTTGAAATCTGGGGGAAGAGCCAGTGCAAAGACTGTGAGATAGGACTGCTGGGTGTGGCTGCAGGACAGCAACTATCTATGATTGAGTGGGGAGGTGAGGCCAGAGAGGTAATAGGGGTGAATGGGGTAAGACCTTGTGGGCTACATCGAGGCCTGGGACATTTATTGGGGGTTATAAGGGAGATGTGGCACATTCTCAAGGAGAGGGGAAATGTAACCTGGTTTGTAAAAATCTGGCTGGGACCCTATGAGTCCCAACCTGACTGAATCTTTCAAGCAGCCCTCAGAACAGTTGGTATGCATTAAGTTCCCCCCACAACCCCACTTAGTGGTTGGGTCTGCACAGGACCTGCCCCACCCCCCCCCCTTACTTGAGTAGATAAGTGGGGTAGTCCACTAGTCACCATGACAATGGTTGCTAGGGGAGGTAGGAGGTCCTTGTGGTCGGAAGGAGCAGTCTGCCTTGGCAGCTGGGGGTGATGTTGAGCTGGTGCCGGCGCAAAATGCCATTCTATGAGTGTACCAAGGGTCATGTCAGTCGTTCTGAGGCCCTGGGCGATCCCCCCGCCCCACCCATGGCTGGGTTCATCACTGCTGCTGTATCCAAGAATGCCTGCTGTGGAGCCGTCTGCTCCCACAGCAAGGCTGCCCCCGTAGATACCAACATGCCATCGGTTGAACCCTTGCTCTCGGCCAACCACCTAAGACTCAGTAGTCAGGTAGGCTACTTAGGAACAGGGTCCCCAGGGGCTGGCTGTAGGTGGGGAGGCACTGCTTGACAAGGGTCTCTCTCCACACCAGGTTTCCAGGAATCCTTAGTGATTCCAGGGCTCTTAAGTGGTTGGGTGGACACTGATACAAGTTCATGTCAATGTGCTTCGCTAGTTTGTGATGGGTTTTAGGGGGCCTGTGATGGTCAGGCAGATGTTAACATGGGACCCATTCCCATCTATACTCCACCCCCACCCCCTCAGGTCGCCATGGATCGGATGAAGAAGATCAAACGGCAGCTGTCAATGACACTCCGAGGGGGCCGAGGTGTAGACAAGACCAATAGTGCCCCTGAACAGATAGGCCTGGATGAGAGTGGTGGTGGTGGAGGCAGTGACCTTGGCGAGGCCCCCACCCGTGCCGCCCCTGGGGAACCCTGCTCTGGGCGGGGACTACTCAGCTCTGCACCAGGTGGGTCTGCTGACCCCCTAGACCGGTCCCCAGGTGCTGCCTCCCAGCTGAGTTCTTCTTAGACTTGTGTTTTCACTTTCTCCGTCTTCTCCCCCTTTCCTGCTATCATCTCTTAATACCCTTTCTCTGTCCATCTGTGCGCTTTTTGTTGGCTTTCTGCTGAGGCCTTGAAGAGGAAGGGTGCCCCCCGCCCCGCCACAGCTGCTCCAAGCCTCCTTTTACCCTTCTCCTACACTCTGCTAGCCCCCTCAGGCCTCATGGTGCCTGCCGGCCTTGGGCCTTTAGCTACCTCTGCCTGCCCCTGGTCTCAGGCTAGCTGAAGTCTCAGCGCACCACTGGAACCAGGTGCTCCACTAGGTGACTATTCCCCCTTCCCCATTCAACCTTCCTGACCTGTCTGAACATCCCTAGGCCTTGCCACCCCCTCCCTGAGGGACCCCAGGCTGCTCTGGGGCCGAATGCACACGTGTATGGTGAGGGAATGTATTCATGGGGAAGAGGGTGTCCTGGGGCTCCTGATCCCAAGAGTCCTTCTCCATGGACCTGCCCTCCCCCTGTCCCCCACCACCAGAGATTGTACACGAGGACTTGAAGGTGGGATCTGACTTGAAGATGGGGTCTGACGGGGAAAGTGACCAGGCTTCAGCCACGTCCTCGGATGAGGTGCAGTCGCCAGTGAGGGTGCGCATGCGCAACCATCCCCCACGCAAGATCTCCACTGAGGTGCTTAATCCCCTGTCCGGGCAGTGGTGGGACTGGAAAAGAGGGTTGGACCTGAGGCAGTGGAGCTCATGGTACTGTTTCTCTTGTCTCTCCTGCTAGGACATCAACAAACGCCTATCACTACCAGCTGACATCCGGCTGCCTGAGGGCTACCTTGAGAAGCTGACCCTCAATAGCCCCATCTTTGACAAGCCTCTCAGCCGCCGCCTCCGCCGTGTCAGCCTGGTGAGCATCTTCGGTCCTTTCTTCCTCCCATTTCCCTCCCTTCTCCCCCATCCACTCTCCCAAGCTTGCTTCAACTTGCCGCCTCTACCCCACAGTCTGAGATTGGCTTTGGGAAACTGGAGACCTACATCAAGCTGGACAAGCTAGGCGAGGTGAGGGACAGCCAGGAAGCCCATGATAGGGATGGGGGTGAGTGGGAACTCCCTGCAGCCTCAAGTTCCTCTCCTGTAACTGTTCCTCATTCCCCAGGGTACCTATGCCACTGTTTACAAAGGCAAAAGCAAGCTCACAGACAACCTTGTGGCACTCAAGGAGATCAGACTAGAACATGAAGAGGGGGCACCTTGCACCGCCATCCGGGAAGGTACTGACATCTGGGAAGATATGCCCCTGGCTTCCCGGGCACTCCCCATGGTGCACACACATGCCCCGTGGTGAGAACAGACACTAGGGGTTCTAGTACTTTTCTCCTGACACTCTGGGCTTCATGAAAAAGTGCATATCACTCACACATCTAGGTAATAATCAAGGTAACCAGGAATCTGGTCCAGTTTGGATAAGAGGTGGATGAATTAGAAAGTAAGATTCTTGCTTTGGTTCTAGGAACATCCCTAAAAGTGTTTGCCAATTTACCTGATAATAGCAGTTATGTTCAGAATATCACAGCAAGGAATTTGAATTGTGTAGAAATTGTGCAAACTCAGTTTCACATGAAGCTGCAGGCCTATGTATTAAGGTTTAGAGCAAGGTCTCTGTCTAGAAACCAACAGTAGGTTTTGAAAATCTAGTGTCACATAAGCCCGGGACTGCCATCCCATGTTCTTGTTCCATACTCTTCACTGAGCCTTAGTTTCCACATCTGGAACATGAGGACATACCTTCCTGGCAGCAGATGGGTTAGAGCTGGTGGCTGTGAGCTACCATCCCAAACAGCACAGAGGAAGAAGGAAACCCTGGGCTCGTCCTTGCCTAGTGCTCATGTCTATCCTGAGGGTAGGACCCTGACTCTTCCCCTTTGTTACCCCCATGCTTCCTGCAGTGTCCCTGCTCAAGGACCTCAAACATGCCAACATCGTCACGCTACATGACATTATCCATACGGAGAAGTCCCTCACCCTTGTCTTTGAGTACCTGGTAAGGTTGGGTGGCAGTGGGTACCGGAGGAGGGAGTGGGGAGATGGCCAGGAGTCACAGGATGTGACCCTATTTTCTCTACCTACTTTTCTCTCCTCAGGACAAGGACCTGAAGCAGTACCTGGATGACTGTGGGAATGTCATCAACATGCACAACGTGAAAGTGGGTGTGGGGCAGGAAGCAGGGGCACATGGGGGCCCCTACTCACCCACTGCACCCCACAAATCTCCCAGAAACGACTTCCTGTTTGGCTTTTTTGCTGGGAGCCATTGGAGGGCATTGGGACCATGTCCTCTTTTGGGAGACAAGGCTTCGGACTCAGTGTCTGTGTTTGGGAGGGGAAGCAGTGCCTGCTGGGAGTCAGGCTGCTGGATACTCTTTGACCTTTGCTTGCCATTTCTGGGTCCCCAGCTGTTCCTGTTCCAGCTGCTCCGTGGCCTGGCCTATTGCCACCGGCAGAAGGTGCTACACCGAGACCTCAAGCCCCAGAACTTGCTCATTAACGAGAGAGGAGAGCTCAAGCTGGCTGATTTTGGTACCCTTGGCCTCCCCTCCTTCCTAGTGATCCCCCATCCTTACTCTCCCAACCTCTCCCTTCTCCATGACCATCTACTTTCAGTCCCCCAGACTGCCCGGGACCACCTCAAATCCAACTGCTCCTTCTCTCCACCTACCAGGTCTGGCCCGGGCCAAGTCAATTCCAACCAAGACCTACTCCAATGAGGTGGTGACACTGTGGTACCGGCCCCCTGACATCCTGCTCGGGTCCACAGACTACTCCACCCAGATTGACATGTGGTAAGGACAGGTGGAAATGTGACAGGGGCCATGCAATAAATGGGGTGGCTTGGTCACAATGACCAACCAGTCAGCTGCCTCCCTATTTATTCACTGTGCCTTCCCTGCCCAGGGGTGTGGGCTGCATTTTCTATGAGATGGCCACAGGCCGGCCCCTCTTCCCAGGCTCCACAGTGGAGGAGCAGCTGCACTTCATCTTCCGCATCTTGGGTGAGGAGGCATGAGCCCTAGGAGCTGTGGGGACATGTAGGAAGGCTCTGTGAGATACTTAGAATAATGTCTCTTCCCACCAGGAACCCCAACTGAGGAGACATGGCCGGGCATCCTGTCCAATGAAGAATTCAAAACACACAACTATCCCAAGTACCGTGCTGAGGCTCTTTTGAGCCATGCGCCCCGGTGAGGCTGGTGGGTGGGTGGGTGGGCGGGCGGGCGTTAGTGGCCAGAGTGCCCAAACTCAATTTAAAGCAGGTCCCCTTGTCCTTGTGGTAGACTTGATAGTGATGGGGCTGATCTCCTCAACAAGTTGCTGCAGGTGAGACCACCTTCCTGAGCCAGCCTTGGGGATTGGGGGTGTGGGGAAACTGGGCGCTCCGGGGGGTGGGGATGAAGAGAGGCCTACTTTGTGAAAGTGTCAATACTCCCTGCCTCCCCCCGCCCCAACACACACACTCAGTTTGAAGGTCGCAATCGGATCTCCGCAGAGGACGCCATGAAACACCCATTCTTCCTCAGTCTGGGGGAGCGGATCCACAAACTTCCTGACAGTGAGTGGAGCTAGGGAATGGAGTGGGCCTGTGGGGGGCTGTGGGGAACAGGACTGCCTGCAGACACCTGAGCAGGTTGTATAGGGCTCTGCTGTGACACCTCTAAGGGAGGACACCTTTGTTCACATGTGTGATGTGTTTATGACAAACAAGTTGCTTAGTTTTCAGTTCCTTTATCTTTTATGGAAATTTTCAAATATATATAATAGATACAATATCACTTTACCTTTTTTTAAGTAAACATGTCCTTGTAAGGTATACACTGAGAAATGCCCAGATCATAAGTATACAGCACAATGAATTTTCACAAACTTAACACACACATGAAACTGGCATACAGGTCAAGAAATAGGACATGAGAAGTTCCCCCAAAGTACGTTCTTGGTTCTTTCAGATATTCCCAGCCCTTCCTCGGGGGTTACCACTAGATGGACTTCTGACAGCTGAAATAAATGTTCCCTGCCCTTGTACTCTGCAGAAATAGAATCACGTGGCATGTTCTCTGTTTACATCCGACTTTTTAAAACTTTTTAATGTGGATATTTTAAAATTAGATTTGTGTATATATTAGACCAAATAATAATATGAGCCCCAAAGTATCATGTCAGCAGCCCATGGTCAGTCTGGTATTATATGTATTCCATCTGATTATTTTGAATCACATCCCATATATACTGTACATCTATAAATAATTTCAGCATGTATATATAAAATAATTTTTAAATATGTAACAGTATCACCCTGGCTGCTGTGGCTTACTGGATTGAGTGCTGGTCTTCAAACTGAAAGGGTGCCAGTTCAGTTCCCAGTCAGGGCACATGCCTGGGTGGTGGGCCAGGTCCCCAGTTGAGGGCGTGCAAGAGGCAACTGATTGGTGTATGTCTTGCACATTGATGTTTCTCTCCCTCTCTCCTTCCCTTCCCATCTCTCTAAAAGTAAATAAAATCTTTTAAAAAATAAACATATAACAATATCATTATCACACCTGAAAAAATTGGCCCACTTTGCGTATCTGTCCACTGGACTTTACCTTTTTTTAAAGTAAACAATTCTTTGTAAAGTATATACTGAGAAATGTGCAGATCATAAGTATACAGCACAGTGAATTTTCACAAACACACATTTGAAACCGGCATACAGGTAAAGTCAAATCCCAAATACCATCTATTGCCTCAACAGGTGGTAATTGCAATACCATTATCACACTTGACAAAACTAAAAATGATTTCTTGGTGCCATGTAATAGTCCATATTCTGTTTTTCCCAGTTGTAGCTGGTTTGTGTGTAGGAGTATTTGACAGATGAAAGTCAAGCCTCTTAAAGAAAAGGCAACTTTTTCTAATTCCCCCAGTGGGGCCTGTGGGACGTGGTCCTGGATGGCCCCATGGGTCGTTCCCTACTTCTCTCTCTCCTTCACCCACAGCTACTTCCATATTTGCACTAAAGGAGATCCAGCTACAAAAGGAGGCCAGCCTTCGCTCTTCGTCGATGCCTGACTCAGGTAGGTGTGCCCTTCACCCTCTTCCCTGCCCCATCCACCTACCTGCTTGTTCACCAACAGCCATCAGCTCTGCTTTCGCCCGCAGGCAGGCCAGCTTTCCGTGTGGTGGACACCGAGTTCTAAGCCAGAGACCCAGGCCCCAGCAGGCAGCAGCTGGAGGGATGCCACACCCCTCACAGGGCAGCCCCCAACTGCATTCTCCCTGCTTGCTGCCTGCCTCCCTGCCTGATTCGTGCTCACCTGCTCACGTGTTCCCTGCTGCCTGTCCAAACATCCAACCATTGGCCTGTCTGCTGGGTGCTAACAAAGCTCTCAACGCTCCTTCACCTGGTCTGTCTGTCTGTCTCTCTCTCTGTCTTAGTAGTTGCCGGCGGACAGCATGGCCATGCCAGCCTCCCACACTGAGGCCAGGCCTGTACCCCTACCCACCATACCCTCCCCCAGGACCACTACCCCATGGCCAGCCAGGGGTCCAGAGCTAGCCCAGGCTGGGGATCTCAACTCACAAGATGTGGCAATGCTTTGGGTCTGAGGTTTCCCCTGCCTGCTTACCTTCCTGCCCCACCTGCCTCATGTTGTGTGGGCCTTTTTTTGTTTGTTTCATTCATTGTTGTTTTTTAATTATTTTAAATGAGGTTTTCATTTTTTAAATGCAATATCTCTGTATACAGACTGGCTGGGCCCCACCCCCTGCGTGTGGCCCTCTCACAGTATTTTGTGCAATGAAGCCCCGCTCCCAGCCTTTCCAAGGCAGGAACACAGCCCCTATTCAAAAACCTGACCATCACCAGACCCTGGGGTTGGCTAAGGGAAAGCATGCCTCAACCATTCACCTTCCTTCCCCCGCCCCGCCCCCGCCTGCCATCCCCAGCCGCAGGGGTACCTGAGGACTACCGGAGAGACTCTGGGAGATGGACGAGGTGGGGAGCCCCCACTCTTTCCCTCCTGCAGTTCTATAGCTGGGGCCTCCTTCCTTCTCAGGGTCTCCTTAGCCTAGCCCTTTTGCCCCCATCCCACTCGGTGCTGTTGAGTAGGGGCCCTGCCAGGAGCTGAACAACTCAGCGAGGAGCCATAGTGTGTATATGTGCACAGGCAGGGACAGAGGGGCGCGTGGGGGGTTGTGCCCAGATGTTAACCCCTAACCTCTGGGGAGGGTGAGGCAGGGCAGGAACAGTCTCTGGGGTCAGTCCCAGATGGGTGGTTACCTCCCTTTCCTCCACTCTAAACCCTGGGGCCCTCAAATGGGGTGGGAGGGCATGGGTGGGGGCCCTCCTAATGGGTTTTGGGAGGTTGGGTTCCTGAATGCACCATAATCGCTGTATGAAATATTAAAGAAGTCTAAAGTGAAAAATGTGACTGCAAATCCCTATAGGGGTGAGGGCGGACTTGACCCAGGTTGAGTACTAGGACTTTGCCAAGTTCATACTTGTCCCCATCATCTAGGAGAGCACTGGGAGTGGGCCAGGGCCATGTCACAACTGTGAAAAAGGCATCTGAGGGGTTGCACATGCAACAGTGGAACACTGAAGCAGGTAGGGCGGGCTGAGCAGAGGATGGGCTAAGAGAAGTTAGACTTAACCAAGAATATGAGGAAGCCAGAGAGAGCGTGGCGACAAGAGGATGCAGAGAGGCTGTTTGAGAGGTACTTGGAAGGGCCAATAAAACCAGGAGGTGGGGAGCTGAGGCGGGGAGAGGCCCAGTATGACCACCACATGTCTGACCCAGACAGCATGAGGCAGACCAGTTGGAGAGAGACTGCAAGAAGATAGGTTTTGGACCAGTGAGTAGGTAGGGGAATCCTGTAATACTTGGATTAAAATTTGGGAGTGGGGCCATCAATAAAGTGGAAGTTTGGGTTATTGATTTCTAGGAAGTAATGGAAACTGGTGAAGTGCGGGAAGGATACAGTAGTTTGTGAGAGGCAGTCCCTATCCCACCATTTTGGGCAAAACCAAGAATAAACTTCCAGGCAGAATAGGTGAGGTGGGCAGGGCCAGGCGAGTGCTGCAGGTGATAGCAAACCTAAGTGTCTGGTTACTGAAGTCCAGCAGCAGGGGCCTAAGAGCTTCCAGTCACTTCTCTGCATCCCTGTAAGCTCTTGGGCCATATATCAGTTTGCAGCCTTATGGTTTCATGATGGTTGCCATGTCCCCAAAGATGAGAAAGCAAACGGAGAAAATGGCACCTTCCTTCCCTGCTTGTTTCCTTGTTACAGGTCTGCAGCTTCCACAAAGTTCCTCTGCAGCCTTCATGCACCATGCCTTGGCTAGAATAAGATGATGTGGCCACCTCTGGCAGCGAGGGAGGCTGGGAAAATGAGGGCCTTGCAAAGGGGGACAGGATTGCCAGGCCAGACTTAGAAGGGCTACAATTCACATGACTGCTCTGGGAGGTGGGAGGGTCATTGGTATGGGCAGAAGTTGCCTTTGGATGGTGGAGGGATAGACTCCAGGTCTGGGGGGAGAGGCCTGTTAGATACTAGAAAGGACAGGCTTACCCAGATAAATGGGGAGCAGGAGTCTGCAGAGAGGCAATGAGGAGAGTCAATTCAGAGTGTCAAGATGCAGCTGGGCTCAAAGAGCAATGTGCCTCATGCCAAACTCATGACATTCTGGGGTCCCCCAGGTGAAAGGGTGCTGCTGCTTCTCTCTGAGTTTACACAACTGACTTTTGGCCCCCTCATCTGTTCCAGCTCTGGGCTAGGGTTTAGAATCACAGTAACAAAGACAGTCCCTGCCCTGCAGAGGTTACCTAAACACAGAAGTAAATTATGAAATTGTGTGATGGGGCGGGGTTGAAGTGCAGAGAGGGGTTGCTGGGGATACTCCAGGTCCAGGGACCTGTGTACATGAGTCTAGAGGTATGGGAAGACAAGGTGTGTTATCACCTGTGGGAGTGAGTGGTAAAGTGAAGGAAGCCACTGAAACAGACCCAGAATCATAAGCCTGTCTTGGGGAGTTTGTGGGTTGGTCAAGTGGGGATAGCCAATCTACAGGTAGATGCAGGGAGCCAGAGGGCCCAACATACACCTGAACTAATATAATATTGAATGTCTAAGTGTAATTGAAAAAAGTTATTACCAACAGGTAGGGCCAAGACCCCTAACGGAGAAGAAAATGGCATAGCCGAGTGCAGTGATTCTGAACTGGAAATAATCCTGCCCCATCCCCAGGGAATATTTAGCAGTGTTGGAGACCCATTTGGTTGTTCCAGCTGGGGAGTGCTACCGGTATCTACAGTGGGTAGAGGTCAGGGATGCAGCAAAACATCCTACAATGCTTCCCACAATAGAGAAATGCCAACAGTGCCTAGGTTGAGAAACCCTGGCCTAGTGCAATGGTTCATAAACTTTTGGTCTCAGGATCCTTTTATAGAATTAGAAGTTGAGGACACCCCAAAGCTTTTCTTCTCTTATATCATGTAGCTTCTGGGAAATTCCCCCACTCATGCAAGAGAGAGAATGACAGTGAAAAATAGTCCTGATTTTGTGAACCCCCTGAGAAGGTCTCCTGAACCGTGGAAAGCCTAGGACCGCAGTTTGAGAATCTCTGTCATGGTGTTTAAGGTCACAGCTCTGGAATATGGAATTCCTGAGTATGAACCATGGCTCAGCCACTTAACTAGCTTGGGCAAAGTGAGTTAACATTTCTGGTCCTCAGCTTGTTCCCGTATGGGTGGCAATGATACTATCTGCTGCCTAAGGCTACAATTTACCTGCAGTATAGCAGAGCTATTACTAGCTATCACTGCTGTAACTCTGGCACGGAGCTGACTTGCCTTCAACATATTTGTCGAGAGAATAAAATTTACTTCAGCAGGAAAGTCGCCTGCAGGCTTGGGTTGCTCTGGAGGTGATCACCTCTTTTACATTGGGTTTTGTGGGATAAGAAGGGTAGTGCATTGAAGGATGGGCATTCTGGTTATGCTAACAAAAACGCCCCTCCCAGGGTAGGGACCTGTGGTCCCCAGCAGAGCACGGACCGGTAAGACCCCGAACTTTAGTGTCCCTGAGCACTCTCCAGTATGTCCAAGTCTACCTCAGAGATCTCTGCCTCCACCTTCCAAACAACCGTTTCTCCGGACTCAACATAGCATTAGAATCCCACTAGACGCCTTTCTTTCTTAGCTCCCAGCTGGAGGTTTTACTCTGCCTGTTGGTCCCAGAGATAACCGCTCATGGTCGCAACAGCGCCTAGCCCTTGGACGCCTCCCACCGTGGTGTCCGCTTCCAAGACGGTAACAGACCCACGACTGTTTGGGGGGCTGCCTTTCCGTTTCCGGGACCAGAGTCCGGAAGTGGCAGTTGAGGGGCCTCTTCCTATCTCCCACTGCGGGGCCTGTGAGAAGAGGCGAAAGGCGATGGCGGCGGTCGCAGAGAATCCGCCGGCTGAGAGAGGACCGAGAACCACTGCATGAAGCGGTGCCGGGCCTGAAACTGCAACGGCGCCAGATGAATGGCGAGAGTGTGCAGAGCGTCCACTGCGGGCAGGCGAAAGCTGAGACCAGAGCATCTACTTAGGGGATAGTAGCCGTGCTGACCACGGAGAGGGATGTGGCGTCGAGGGCCGCAGGAGCTCTGCCTTGGGGGCGGGGGAGTGGCCTGTGGGACGGGGAATGAAAGGGGCGGGAAAGTGCCTGTGAGTGGATCGACTGTTCTGGGGAAAGAGGCGGGGCCTGTGCGGTGTAGCCTCACGCCTGAGAACTAGACGAGGTTTGTGGCGGGGAGACGGGGGCAGGGCCTGAGAAGAAATGGCCGTGGGGGTGGGCCCCAGCCGTCGTGGTGGCACTTGGAGCCTGGAAAAGAGGCGGTCTCCGCAATGGAGCATGGGGGGCGTGGTCTTCGTGGCGTCAAATAGCTCTGGGGCGATTGTGGTTGATCAGCGGAGCCTGAGAAGGCGGCAAGGCGGTGACGTAAGTCATAATAGCAAAATCCGAGCCCAACGGCTGTGCGCGGGAGAAGGGAGCCCGCGCCTGGGAACGAGGCTCGTGACGTAGGCCGAGAGGAGTGCCCTGAAGCCAAGGAAAAACTGCTGCAGAGGGGAGGTGGTGCCGTGAAGCAGAAAATGGCGTCTGCGAGTGAGCAAAGTTTGTGACGCGGCGAGGTTTCTGCCTCTGGCGGAGGCCGTCTTCCGAGGACGGGAGAAGAAAGTGCAGGTGATTGGCACGGGAGGGTCCTTCGATGTTACGTTCGTTTTCTGTTTTAGTACTGTTTTGTTTTTATCATCAGGAAAAAAAGTGCTATTTTTTAAAAAATGCCAATGAGTGTTTTCATAAATCGGCTTGTTTTACTGATTTCATTGCTAATCAGTGCTTGCAATGTACTGTTTCTGGGTTCATTTTCTTTTTCGCCGAGTTGCGTCTTGTTTTTTAAATTGTGAAATATGTAAACCCTAAACCGATTATATAAAACTTTTATTCTATAAAAATAAATGGCCTATGCTATTCAAAAAGTTAAAGGTCGTGAAAGACAAAAGATGAAGTACTATTCCAGATTGAAGGAATTAATGGGAGACTTAACGAGTCATGATAACGAAATGCAACGTGTGATCCTGGATTGGATCCCGGAGGAGAAAATAAATAAATAATTTAAAAATAAGGCTTTTTTCTTTATAAAACTAATTTTCTCTCTTGTACTGTAAAAGGTATTAATGGGAAAATGGGTGAAATTCCACTAGGTCTGTAGATTAAATATTAATACTGGTGATTTGCTTTTAATAATTGTGCTGTGGCTATATAGGAGGATATCTTAGTAGGACGTACATGCCGAAATATTTAGGGGTAAAGAACCATCACGTAAGCAACTTACTCTCAAATAGTTGAAAAATGGGACATAAAAATGTACTTAAAGAAACAATGATCGAGCAAATGGGTAAAATGTTAAATTGGAGGTGTCTGAATGAAGACTATTTGGGAAGTTTCGGTATTATTTTTGCAAATATTCTGAGTCTGTTTCAAAGTAAAAAAAAACTTGAATACTAAAACAAAAATGCGTGAATTCGACACGCTGCTTAAGGATCCGACTGTTAGCTTAAATCCTTCTGTGCTCCTCCCAAATGAAAATCCCCCCTCCCTGCTCCACGGGAAACTATTATCCTGAATTTTTAATTTAGTTAATGTTTTTCCACCACTGTATGCATTCATAAATAGTATTTGTGGTCTAAGCTTTCATTTTATGGAGGATATATATGAAATATTGGATGCATACCGTATCAGGTGGTACTTGGTATCTACATGACGTCATTTGTGACGTTGGCCTTGATCACTTAGAGAAGGCGGCATCTGCCTGGTTTCTGCATTCTACAGGTACTATTTTCCTCTTTCCATAATTT